TTTTTTTTTTTTTTTTTTTTTTTTTTTTTTTTTTTTTGGTACATTTCAGGATTTGGGGGAAGGTCTATAGTGGAGATTAATGAAAACATGCACAGGTCTTACCTTTGCTTGCGATGGAGGTGGTGTGCGAGGTGTCACCTGAAAGACACATGGGGAAGGGTGGGTTGTGGTTGTCTCCCGCCTTCAGAGCAGCCCTGACTCTTTCTGAGGGGCTCATGTTATCACCTCTAGTTCCTGACTGGCTCACGTCCACTGAGGGTGGCTGGCATCTACTGGGTATAGGAAGCCACCCACTTTCCACCCGGCTTACCCATTTCTGACCTACTTAAATGAGGAATACAGGACCTGAGAATCTGGAAATATTCAGGACTGTACGGATCTTCCAGAACACTCAGAACATGTTTGAGAGAATGGAAAACGTGCCCAAGGCTCTGCCACCAGGCAGCTGGCTCATCTTGGCAGGGGTTCCTGTAACACTCCTGTAGCACATTGATGGAGACGGTGACCGTCACTTCACCTGTGGCCCTTCAGGGGTTGGCAATAAAGTGTGCTGACACAGACTCAAAGGGGATGCTTTTGGGCCTGTGGCTCCTAAAACTCACTCATCAACACGCAAAATACTAGCTTGAATGTGTGCTGCACTGAAATCTCATAATTAGATAAAACTTTGTTCTTGTTTTAAACACTGTTTCACAGAGCAGTTTTAGGTTCATGTGCAGACATTAGAGTTCCTATATACCCTGCAGTTTCCCCTATTATTAACATCTTGCATTAGTGCAGTTCATTGGTGTCAACTGATGAACAAATATGTATACATCGTTATTATTAACTAAAATCCATAGTTCACATAAGCGTTCACTCTCTGTGCTGTGCATTCTGTGGTTTAGGCAAATGTATGTCCTGTGTTCAGCATTGTGGTATCCCTGCCCAAAAAGTGCCCTGAGCTCTGCCTGTTCATCCCTCCCTCCCCCGACCCTTGGCAACCCCTGATCTTTCTACTGTCTGCAGTTTTGCAAAGCCTGTGCTTTTAAATCCTCTGTCTCATGGGTCACCTGGCCGCAGAAGAAGCGAACTCTTTGTTGGACACTCAGTTCAGGAAGTGGCAGATGCTCTTTGGAAGCACCGGCCTGGAATTTGGGATCAGGCATGGGGATGAGTTCCCATGGCCAGCCTCACCCCGGCGGAGGATCACAGTGTCATCCGTGGATGTATCATCTCCCATGGGGCTTAAGGCCAGCGACCCCCAGTGCTCTTACAATTTCAACTTCCCCTGCGGACCATCACTCACAATGTTCTTGAAGAAGTGGACTACAGGGTTTTCGTCTTGGGGCCGGCCGTGCTGCTTCTGGGGCAGGGAGCCGTAGTGGGTAGTTCTTGCCGCGTGGTGTGAGTCCTGGAAGAGAGAGAGGTGCAGCAGCTCAGGACAAGGCCTCCGCCCTGGGCCTCGTCCTCTGCGGGGAAGCTGGATCTCTACTCTGTGGATCTGGGTGGTTTTGTTTGTTTGTTTGTTTGTTTGAATAATGCTAGAAAGCCACTGGCGTGCCATAAGACAGGTGTAGGACCTGAGACAGGTGTAGGACTTGACACAGGTGTAGGAACTGGCGCCAGCATATTTGGTTGTATAACTGCAACTTGTGGGGTAGCTATTTCCACCACTGAGTCAGCATCCGGTTCTCCTGCAGTTGTGTAAATGGAACTGAAGGTAATTTAAGAGCAGTTCCATCTAAGACAGGCAGGTTAAGCAAAGCACTGAGAGAAAAAGAATTTTTACCCCCAGGCTTCTGGTTTGATAAAGGAAAATGCTCAGGAATTACGTACAAAACAACCCACGATAGTAAAGGACAGATCAGTTCACTAGCTCTGAAGTGGCTGCTTAACGTGAGCCAGACTGTTTCTTAACACAGATGTCTCAGGGGCCACAGTGGTCCCGGGGTCTGCTCTGTGTGAGGCGATCACTTCCATGTCCTGAGTCAGAAGGGTGGGAAGAGCTGCTGGGTGTGCGGGAGGGGCCGATTCCTCATCAGCAGAACCAGAACATTCTAGGTCAGTAAATACTGCATAGAAGGCACCAGATGACAGGTGCTGCTAGCGTGGTTCATCTTGCAGGAAAGAGGACAGACTCCGAGAGGAGGAGGAGAGGGAACGTGTTGTTCTTCAGGCTTCCAGCATTCCCTCCTCGGCTCTCAACTGCAAAAGGCCGATGGCAGTAAACACAAACCATGCAACGAGGGCCAGCAGCACAAAGACGGTCACTGCCAGCCGAGTTTCCGTGGGGGAGGAGGCTCACTTGCAGCAGCACTTAATAAGAGGCTCCACAACATGACATTTAGAAAAGCAGCGGGAAGGGACCTCAGGAGGAGCTTGCAAAATTGACTGTCGGTTTCTCTCTCCCTCACTGCTGTTCCCAGCACCCTCTTGGATGTAAATATTGTGCATGGGAAGAACCTGAGCCTCTGGGCAGGAGCAAATTAAAGCAGGAAATGCTCTGCAGGTCAGAGGAGCTCAGAGGAGCTCCAGCCTGGCAGTCTGCAGGGAATTCTGCTAAAGCAAATCAGTTCCATGTGCTGAAATCAGCAGGAGCATTTGCTGCCGTCGTCTCAGCTTAGTGCACATTATTTGGGAAGACTCCTCATTCAAAAGACAGTTTGCCACCACAAAGTCTACAGTGTGCTTCTCTGGAATTTATGACAATGCACTGAATGGTTGGAATTCAACAGGTGGTAACTGCACGGCAGAGCTACAGGGACAATATCTGCAAAGTGCTCTGCACCCCTGGGCACTTAGTTGCTGCTTATGGGGATTTATGACAGGTCACAACTGCACTCTTCACACACCCAACTGTCAGGTCTGAAACCACGCTGTTACCTTGTCTCTTTCCTCATGCTACTTTCCCTGTTCCACAGTTAACAAATCTTCTTTGAACTATTTCTTGCATTCATCATTTTTCACTGACATTAAAAAAAAGCTCACCTGCTTCCCTGTGATGTTCCATGCCCTGCTCACCTTCAAGGTGAAGCCCTAAATCCTCCGTCCTCCCTGCCCTACCTCTGGCCACAGCTTCCTAAGTGATCTCTGTCTGTTACTCTATGCCCACCCCCTGCCCTCCCCAGCCTTTGTCCCCACTGCAGTCAGAGCAAGCTTTCTGAAGCACAAATAAGGGCCTGCATCTCTCTCCTTTGCTAATGTCCAGCCCACAGAATGGGATCTCGTGCACAGAATGAGCCTAGGTGTAGGGCCTGACAGCTTCCACCGGCAACGCTCCCCCCCCTTCCTTACTGGGCATCTGTCCTTCCTGGGCCACACCCTGGCACCCACTGCTCTCTTGTCCCTTCATGTGTCTCCTGCACGTGCTAGCTCTGGCTTCCCTGGCCAGACTCGGTACCTGTTTTCTGTGCCACTCACTCCTACCTCCCTCATTGGCAGAGCTGTGGAGACAGCACGTGCCACCACTGTGCGCTGCATGTTCCTGTGCTGCACTGGGCTGTGACACAGCTTTGATGCCTCACACTGGACCTCATTCATTCCTAACTAAAGGCCAGGGGCCAGCATGTGCACATTCTGCAAACATGGCAAAAGCAAAACACACAAAATTCCTGCCTGGGAGCTTCTGAATGAATTAATGGATGAAAGAATGATCAAGCTTTATTCCCTAGATTTTTAAATAACGGGCACCTCATATTTTATCCCTGAATTGCTTTTTCCTTGCTTTGTGCTTCTGTTTTTTAGCCACTATCTCGTTTCCAATTAGACCGTAAACTGTTTTAGGCAGGAGTACGGTTTGCGCTCGTTCTGCACGTGCCTGGCACTCTGATGAACTTCCCTGTCTACTGGGGATCCCAGCTCCCCACACGTAGAGGGATTATGGGGAATTGCTATCATGCTTGGTTTCCTCAGAGGCAGATGCTGTGAGCGTTTGAACTTGAAGATGTCAGGGCAGGAGCACTTGCAGTCATCGTTGAAACCCCTGATTCTTCTTATTTTTACTTGTTCTCTCTGCAGACGTTACAAGAACCTAAACAGTCCTCTGACCCTCCTGTATCACCTTTTCTTGTACCCAGTGCCTCTCTGGGCTTGCCGACCAGCTCTGTTCACCCACCACTAACCAGCCGTGCAAGTTCTTTTCCTCCAACAAGAGAGTGAGTGTGAAATTAAGAATTAAAAACAAAACAGACAGGCCAGGAAACTGTTTAAATGACTCACTGC